TTTCCCGTTGCAGGAACGCGCTCCTCTTCAACAACGAGCTCATGGCCGACGTCCACTTCGTGGTGGGGCCCCCGGGCGGGGCCCAGAGAGTGCCTGCCCACAAGGTTGGTGGCGGCTGGGGCCCCAAGGCGCTAGGCCGTTTCCTGGTGGCGAGCTGACCGCCCTCCCCGCGAGGGTGGGAGGCCCGGGCTCAGGGCGGCTTCTCTCCCGCACAGTACGTCCTGGCCGTCGGTAGCTCCGTCTTCTATGCCATGTTTTACGGGGACCTGGCAGAAGTCAAGCCGGAGATCCACATCCCTGACGTGGAGCCCGCGGCCTTCCTCATCATGCTCAAGTAAGGGGCTCCCCTAGCCAAGGGGGTGGTTCTGCCCCCGGCGGCCTGTGACCGTCCCTGCCCTGCTAGGTACATGTACAGCGATGAGATTGACCTGGAGGCGGACACCGTGCTGGCCACGCTCTACGCAGCTAAGAAGTACATCGTCCCCGCGCTGGCGAAGGCCTGCGTGCACTTCCTGGAGACGAGCCTGGAGGCCAAGAACGCCTGTGTCCTGCTGTCGCAGAGCCGGCTGTTTGAGGAGCCGGAGCTGACCCAGCGCTGCTGGGAGGTCATCGACGCGCAGGCGGAGATGGCCCTGCGGTCCGAGGGCTTCTGCGAGATCGACTGGCAGACCCTGGAGGTCGTCATCACCCGGGAGGCCCTCAACACCAAGGAGGCCGTGGTCTTCGAGGCCGTGCTCAACTGGGCCGAGGCCGAGTGCAAGCGGCAGGGCCTGCCCGCCACCCCGCGCAACAAGAGGCACGTCCTGGGCCCGGCCCTCTACCTGGTCCGCATTCCCACCATGACCCTGGAGGAGTTCGCCAACGGCGCCGCCCAGTCGGACCTCCTGACGCTGGAGGAGACCCACAACATCTTCCTGTGGTACACGGCGGCCAACAAGCCCCCCCTCGACTTCCCGCTGACCAAGAGGCGGGGCCTGGCCCCGCAGAGGTGCCACCGCTTCCAGTCCTCCGCCTACCGCAGCAACCAGTGGCGCTACCGGGGGCGCTGCGACAGCATCCAGTTTGCGGCGGACAGGAGGGTGTTCGTGGCGGGGCTGGGCCTGTACGGGTCCAGCTCCGGGAAAGCCGAGTACAGTGTGAAGATCGAGCTCAAGCGCCTGGGGGTGGTCCTCGCCCAGAACCTGACCAGGTTCGTGTCCGACGGCTCCAGCAGCACCTTCCCGGTCTGGTTCGAGCACCCGGTGCAGGTGGAGCAGGACACCTTCTACACGGCCAGCGCCGTGCTGGACGGCAGCGAGCTCAGCTACTTCAGGCAGGAGGGCCTGATGGAGGTGCATTGTGGGAAGGTGACCTTCCAGTTCCAGTG